ATTCCTGCCTTAAAATTTATTTTAATTTTGGAAAGACAAGACACTTTACCAAGATCATGATTTAATCGAGTTGGTGGAAAAGATGAGCTTGTTGTAAGGTGAACTTTGCAGCGGTGTCATGTCCTGGGACTGTGGATTTAAGTATATCTTCGCTTTTTCTCCAACTCTTAAGGCAGGAGTGATGTGCAAGCTTCAAGAGAGAGATGAAATCGGACGAATTGAACTGGTCCAGAAGCTGGCAAGAGAAAACTGTCAGTTTTTGCAGATGGACAAAAAAGAGCAAGAGAAATCTGAACATGTAAGCTGTTCTTCTCTTGGGGATGCAGGTTTGAAGGGGTGGAAAATGCTTCAGCCTTGTTGTATGTTTGAAGGAAGGAATACATTATTTTCGATTCTTTAGGTTTTGATTTCTTTTTCTCCCCAAAAGCATCCTTGTGCTCATAGCTCTAAGCCAGTGGTTTATGACACTAGATTCATAAGAGAATGTTTCTCAAAAGTAAGTCATGCAGAAATTTAAGAACTCATTTTAGCAAATATAAATGCGTGTCTATTTATGCCCCAATTTGATGGCTTTCAAGTTTGACTTTAAAAGTTTTGCCTCACAAGACAGCTTGGAGAATATGAATTTTGAAAGAATATTCCAGTGTACTTTTATGTTTGGTGCAATGAATGCATCCTAAATCACTAGAAATAGATAAGAACAGAAGAACAGATTATAGATGCTCTTACCAAGTGGGAGGGTCAGAAGGGAGTTTTTCCAGTATCTTTTGAACGCTTGTGTTCCAACAAGAGTGATATTGTTTGGATGCAGTTAAAACTGGAGGAAAGGGACGTTCTGCTTGGTTCTCCTGAAAGCAGTTATTCAGATTGAGCCTTAGAATGGAGAATGCTGCCGTCATGCTGGAGAGACAATGGAGCCACTTTCTTCTGCTACACATTGTTGTCTGTTGATTTTGCTGTTGTTGTTCGTAGGACTTCACTCTTGGTGCTACCCTCTCCAAGGGTGCTCACGAAGGGGAACATTCCTCTGTGCTTATAAACATGTCTGCCTCTGACTTTAATTCTTCCATGAAATGTTATTTTCAGCCATTTCCGAGGGAGAAAGATTTGTTTCATGTGTTTTTCTGCTCCCAGTTCATCAATAGAAATGATAGGGTTTTACTGAGCAGGAGAGGAGGTAAGATATTCAAGTCTGACTGGACGTTTAGTTTAATCACACAGCATGTCCTTCAGAGTAAGACACCAAATCCTAATGGTTGGTATCTCAAAGGGGAGAATAATTAGGCAGTTTCCACACCTTGAGATTGAACTATTTCAGGAATGACTATTGCCTCAAATGAGTAGAAGTCTCAGGAGCCTTCCCTTTGCTGAGGCACTACTGGAAAGTTCAGGGTCTTGTTTAAATTGTTAAAGGTACCCCCAGGGTTGACGTCTTACCTCTGCTGTGTCCTTAGGATACTTGAGTAGCCTATTGAATAACTCAGATTTCTGAAGACACTGTTTCTTTTGATTTATCTTCATTAGAAGAGCAACAGTTTTTGCATGTCATATTTTATTGATTTCAACATGTACATTTCCTTCACATTTTAGCACTTTTGAAATCAAGATGAGTCTTAAAAATGGATGATGTGAACAAATCATAGTTTATTTGAGTACGTTTGTTTTTTTCTTGTGGCTCTTAAAATGAATGTTGTATCTTACCATTGATTTCAGATTAGATTAGTAAACCACTGACAACTCAAGGTACAGCAAGATCTTTTAAAAATCAAACAGTAGAATATCACTTCACCAAAGTGACATGCCATTGGCTTTAGGCCACAAACAGCTTTGGATTATTAAAATGATACCTGTGTTGTCTTTGTGTTATCTTTAGTTCAATCCAGAATATTACATTTATAGGTATTGAGATGGTAATACCCTATAAAAGTCTGAACTTGATGCTGATAAGTATAAAGATTTTGCTTTTTTATAGCCTGATGGCATGTACACTTGCCAGAGAGAGAGAGAGAAAGAGCACCATCACCCCCAAGTGGGCATTGTCACACCTCAGTCCCTTCTCTTCCATTTCTCCATCCTGTCAGAATTTGAGGCATGCATACATACGTGCTTGGCAAGCTTTCCAAGCCACTGGGGCCAAGATTCAAACTATGCAGTAAGCCATGTGAGATCTGGCTCCTATGCGACAGAACCAGCCCTTGTAAAAGTTTTTTACATGAGACAGAAATTTAGTGGTTAAAGACTTGCAACTTTACACATGGTTGTTTATTCTGTTACCTTTAAACTTGCAGAATGGAACACTAGGATTTTTCTTACTTCTTGTGTGAACGTCATATGATGGGTACCTTAACGGCGCTAAAATGTTTGTGCGTCTAAGAGGCAAGACACTAAATAAACATTATGACCTTTTCTCTGTAGACTATCTTGTGAAGTTTAAAGTAAGGAAAAGAACTTATTAAGGAACTTTGTTCTTTAATGATAAATGAAAACTCAGCCATTCTGTGATATCCCTTCTATAGGATGATACCAATTGAATCAATCAGTTTTGTTTTTTGTTTTTGTTTCTGGGGTTTTTTTTTGAGAGGTTTTTGTTATAGGGCACCTGTGCTCGCCAGAAAGACAGAGAGAGATAGAGAGACAGGAAGCAAGAAATCACACACACACACACACACACACACACACACACACCCCAGGGGGAATGGCCACACCGCAATCCCTTTTCCTCCTTTCTCCTTTCAGGGTCTTGGGCACACACGCACATGCACCCGGTGTGAGTTTAAGCCACCGGGTCCGGGACTCAAACCGTAGTCGACTACATGGGAATCCAGTGACATAGCCATTACACTAACTGCTGGTCCCAAATCAATCAGTTTTTAATGTTGATAATGATATAGTGCTCCACTGGATGAATTATTTTATACCAGACAATTACAGGTTTTTTTCTTTTTAGTTTCCTATAGAATACATGTGCTTGCCAGAGAGAGACAGAAATGGGGGTAGGGGATAGCCATACCATAATCCCCTCTTTTCCATTCTCCTCTCAGGATTTTGGGCATGCACATATGTGTACCTTAGTATGACGTTCAAGCTCCCTGGTCCAGGACTTGAACTATGCAGCTGGCTGTGTGGGTTCCAGCTGCCTTAACCACTACACCAAGGCTAGCCTTATGATTACACTTTTTACAGTTATTTATTAAGAACGAAATCAACCTGATATTTTTTATTTGAGTTTTTTTGTCTTGAGCATTTTATGTGTCTGTACCTTTGCTTACTCGTTAAGTTTACAGCTTCATGAGGCTGATGCAGCTTTTTTATTTTTCCTGCCTTTGATTTCATTTCAGCAGCAGTCATCTGCCTTCATGCATGGAAGTTTGGTTATAACACAGCATGTGCAAAGGAAACTGCAGACCTAAGTTTACGTTAAGTAAACTGCAGCTTCCTCTCTTGTACTGACTGAGCCCTGCAGTTGCATACAGATTTCCTTTCATAATTTTAAAATGCTTCAGCCATCTCATCACCTATTCCTGGGCAAATGCTAGTTAAGGAGAAAATGGTCAAATTTGAGTAAAAAT